TCGTGTTTCTCTCTGTGAAGGTTGGGAATGTCTCATTGAGTTTGTTGCAAGGGATTGGAGGGGATATCCGTAAAGTGAATAGGACTCCAGTATTGGGTCATTTATGATGTGTCATTCAAATGCCACCTGGATCCTCCAATGAGGGTTCCTGGTTTCGGGGTTCAGAAATAACCATCAGGTCACGTGTCTGTGGGAAGACCCCATGATTATTGAAGCTGACACAGAGCGGTATCCCAGGAAGGACCCCCACCTCGGCAGCCCCACTGTCCACTCCCTTCCCCTCTGCCCCTCAGCTCCAGCCTGACCCTTCCCAAGACCCAGACCTCACTGTTGGGCTGTTGGCTTCTCTCCAGCATGCCCCACCCCCCACCCCCCGTAGAGGAACAGAGCGCAGGGAGGCAGACCCCACCCCTAATCTGCCCTCTTCCTGTTTCTCCCAGTGCTGGGGAGCAACCCGGGCATCTCAGTCAACGCCACCTCCCTGGTGGAGAGCATGGATTCCGTGGCCGCCTACTGCCACACCAACGTCACCAGTGTCACCTGGTACTTGAATGCTGTGCCGACATCCAGCAGTAACCGAATAAACATTTCCCCTGACGGAAAGACCCTCGTCATCCTCAGGGTCAGCCGCTATGACAGGACCCTGCAGTGCGCGGTGGAAAGTTACCCTGAGGTCGTCCAGAAAAGCGAGGAGGTCGCCCTCACTGTGGCCTGTGAGTGACCTGGGGTCTTGGGAATCAAGCCAGGGTGGGCTCGGGGCCTCCCAGGGACAAGGTGACAGGCCAGGCAGACCTGGAGAGAGGTCCGTTCTGGGCCGGCCTTCGGCCAAGTTCATCTGTGAGGAATCCCTGCTGGGCTCTCTGGCTCTGTGGCCTGGGAACTGCCCTTCCCACCCAGAGCCACGGAGCACTGGATTGAAAACGGGGAACCCCGTCCCCACTTCTCAGATTAGAATTGGTCAGTGTGGGTTAGATGAGGTTGGGCTTTGTGTCTAGAGGGACTTCTTATAGCCACTGTCTCTTAAATCAATACTCAATTTATTAAGTTTTCACTATTGTACTTTCCCTCAAGCCTTCAACTTCTGATGGGTGATATCTTTATTCTGTTCTTCTAAATTTAGGAAAATCATCATAATTTCTTCTTTCCTCAAACTGAACGGACTACTTACACAATTTGACCTAAAGACGTGACGATGCATCCCACACTTTCTCCTTCCTTTGTGCCTCTCCTGCTGCCAGCCAGACAACTTTACAACCCAGAAAGAGCTGCTCAAAGTGTCCAGCAGTTCTTCTCAATCTAACGCATTGAACTTACAACTCTGAGACCCCGATTCTTTCCAATGTTCCATGACTCTTCACAGAGAGTATGAAACTCTTTCCCTTCTTTCAAATTAAAAAAAAATCGCAACTCTAAAATCATTTTCACACCTCCATCTGCCACCATTTTCATGGTCCCTCAGATTTCCTAATTAGCAGGCTATGGGGAAGGGCCCGTGGGAGCCCAGGTCGCGGTGTGGACGATTTCTGACCCCCATGCAGCGGTTGGCAGGTCAGAGGTTTGGAATCAAGACCCGGGATGCAGAGTCTGCGGCTGTTCAGGACTTGCTAACCCTTTCCTCAGTAGGGGACTGAGACCCTAGTCCTCTCCTCTGAGCCTCATTTTATGCACCTATAAAAGGGATCAGTTAGTGGAATGGTCACATGAGCCGCCACGGGGATTGAAGCTGTGTGGGGAGGGAGCTCAGAAGAGTGCTGCCACCTGGTCGGCCCCACTGGCTTGCTCCCACCCGCACCTCATTCAGGGTGGGCGAAGGGCGACCATGGCTGATCACGAAGATGCTCTCGTTGTCGCTATTGCGGCTGGCACAGTGGCCTTGCCTGGGGGGTCTAGGTCAGCTCGGGGTGCAGAGTGAGGGCCCCTCTTGGCTGGGGAAGGACTTCATGTGGACTGAGGGAAGGAGACGGGGCCCTGAGGGGTCAGAAGCAGCTCCGGACCTCCTGCCCTGTCCCCGCAGATGGGCCCGACAACGTGGTGCTGTGGGGCTTGCCCGACATCTTCAACGGCATCCTCACTGCTCAGCTCGGCTCCCAGGTGGAGGTCGAGTGCGTCTCCGCTTCCCGCCCCAGCAGCACGTACCGCTGGGCCCACAACGGCTCCCTCCTGGACCTCTCGGACCCAAAGATGACCCTCCCGAGTCTGGCCTGGGAGCAGACGGGCCACTACCGATGCATCGTGGAGAACCCTGAGGCCCAGCTGATCTTGTACAGGAACGTCAGGATCCAGACTCCCGCTGAGAGTGAGTGTGGCCGCCCCCTCCAGCCTCTGCCCTCCAAGTCCTCCTGCCTCCATGCCCTTGTCTAGGCAGTGCCTGCATCAGGAATGCCACCGTCCCCTTAGCACCCCATGCTCACGACTTATGGGTGAAATCCTCCCACCCTCTGGGGTCTGGTCCAAAGCTGCTCCTCTGTGGACGCCCAGAGCCCTCAGATTGGAGTCAGGGAGGCCACCGGTGGTCAGTGTAGCCACGATGGCTGAGCACTCAGTCAGTGCCCCCCTCTGTCTCACCTGTGAGGCCTCCCATCTACCTGCACAGTAAGTGACTCCCACTAGCATCGCTGCACCTCACAGGTGAGAAACTGAGCCCCACTCAGTGGGCGTCCTTTCTTCAAGGTTCCACTTCTAACCCACAGAAGAGGCAGGACCCAGGCCAGGCAGCCTGAGCCCACCGCCTGTGCCCCTGACTGTCTCTGACACCAGGACGGGGGAGCACACAGGCAAGGGACAGGCGGAGGGAAGGAGAGGATTGCCATGGTCCTGGATTTACAAGCTTGGCTTGGGAGTGAATTTGTAAATGGGGAAAGCAACTTTTCAGCAGCCACAGGTACAGTCTTCTGCATCGTGAGAGAGGCCCACTGCTCAGGTCGAAACCAGAGGAGGACGGTGAGATGCAGGGGCCCTGGAGCCAAGGTTCCAGGTTCAAATCCCAGCTCAGCCACCACCCATCTGCATGAGGCAAGGACAAGCAGCTTCGCCATTCTGAAGCTCAGTTTCCCCATCTGTACTGACAGGATGATGAGAGTCTCTGCATGACACAATTCTTGAGAGAATAAAAAGAAACTGTGGGAGAAAGTGCATTGATAATACTGGCTGTGGCCCAGAGACTTTATTTCAGCCCCACCACACTACTTCCTAAGCACCTACTATGCGCAGGACACGGTGTGTGTATGTGTACAACCCTCTGACTTCCACCTCTCTCCTCCCCTGGACCTTGAACTCTAGGAGGGCAGAGGTCGGGAGAGATTCTGTTCATTGTTTGTACCAGTGGTGGACACAGTGCCTGGTGCAGTGTATTCGTGCAGTGAGTCAGTGCCGCTGTCTCGCCAGCACTGCCCCACCCCGGCCTCTGTCCATCCCCTTGTGCGGGTTTATTATTCTCTGGAGCACTCGTGGCTGCCTGCGGTATTATGCATCTCCTGCTTAATTGTCCACTGTCCGCTTCCCAGCTGGAATGTCAGCCCCAGGAGGGCAGGGAGTTTGTTTTGTTCGCAACTGAAACCCTAGTGCCTGCACCTGTGCTTTGCACAGAATGGGTGCTGAGAAGCCTT